GCCATCCAAAACAACAGTGCTATTATTTGTTTACAAAGCTCATAATGTGTAGGTTTTGGTGACATTTTCTGAAATGTGTGTATATATATCACCACAGAGCTAAAAGATAAAACTGAATTAACACTCCTAGGACAGTCAACAAAACTGAACATTATAGGCATCATAAAAGTTTACTTTATTGAAGAACAGTTGTGTTGGATTCAATTATACTGTACAGAGGTGCCTAATAAAGTGGATAGGGCTGACTTTATATTATACCTGTGTATTATATGGGAGTGTATGGTGTATCTTAAAATAAATATTCATTTGAAAAACATCACTTTTGGTTTACTTTTTAACTTTTTAGCCTTTTAACCTTATTGCTTCTACTGTAAAGAACAAGGTACCGTACTGTAAATATGTGGCAAACCACTGGCTACTGTAATACAGTGAGTATAAATTTGCGCTCCAGTCACCTATCTTATTAGTTCTTATCAGGTGAAAACCAGTCTAAACATGTAAATAGAGATCATGCCCATTACCAATAAGTGGTACTTCTACTGGTGTTCTGATAAAAGTGGAAGCTCTCCATCACTGTAAACAGTGGACTGTGCACATAATTTAAGAAGCTTATAGTTCACAGTGTTCCAAGGGTGGGTCTCATCAATGTTAATTGCTGTATGTCATAATATGGTTCAGGCAGGCAGTTTTGCCTTCCATTTCCATTTCATCTTCCACTTGCCTATGCTGCCATGTATCATGACAAATATTCCAAAAAGCAGTAACATGTGTCTATACTGTATGAAATGCATATGATGGGCCTCCTGCCAGCTCTTCAGTCTTGCTGTCCCAACTTGGCATAGTTTGTTTTCTGTATGCTCAGTAATAAATCATTTATGACCTGCTCACCTTTGTATTTGAATCAGGAGCCTAGAACTATTGCTCCCTATGGTTAAGGAATTAATTTCTATCTTTATTTAAAATGCTGTTTCAACACTTGGGTATGTAAAAGCCTTTAATGTGGCCCTCATCACTCTGCTCAGTTCATACAAAGGCAAGAACAAGAGAGGAAAAGAAGACAGAAGTGGCAGGCAGGTGGGGATGTTTCAAACTAGCTGACTTCACTTCTTCTTATGAAGACTATAACAAGAATGAGGACAGCCAGAGATGCAAAAAGAGTAAGGCAGAAGAAAGAGCCTAGAAAAGAAAGGGTAACAGTGGGAGATAAAAAAGGAAAGGAGCCAGTCATTACGAGTACAGGAAAGAATGCTGAGCACAGGCTTCTGAATGCCATAAAGTGTACAAAAAGGGAAAAGTAACAAAACATGGTGCAACAACAAGTAAAATCTCTCTAGATTCAAAAATAATTATAATTCAGCTAACCCTATTATCTAATATAGTTTCCTGTCTCTTAATCTGCAGTTGTACCAGTCATGGAAAGGTCCCGATGTGACTGGAGATTAACCTCTGCTGATAAACAATGGGAATAGAGCATAAAATTAAGTGGCCGTTGCCACATAAAAAATTACAAATTGTGACAGCAGTGACATCAGGAGTCGGCAGGATATTCTCAGATACGGTATAATGTGTGTAATAGATATTCTCTATCTAATTATATGTGCTAACTCAGACTTTAAAAAGTGCCTGTTTTTATGTGTGCAATGAAATACATTTTAATGATCAGTTAGGATTTAAGAGGACATCATTTCTATCTTCATCCATGGCGTCATCTCTCCCTGTCAATGTTTGTTGTGGTGCAAATATAAGTGATTCAGAAGCAAGTAAGAGAGGAGAGTGGAGCGAGAGGGAAATAACAGGGAAAAAGACAGAAGGGCTAAAGGGTGAGAGTCAGAGTAAAGAGCTGCATGTGATGAGGGTGTAACCTATTTGCTGTCAAACAGACTGAAAAACAACAAAAAAAGCCAAGAGCCTGACAAATAGAGTGCCATTTACACAGAACAAGAGAGAGGAACCACAGAGTAAATAAAAGATAGAGAAAGGGAAAG